CCCCAAAACCCCAAAACCCCAAAACCCCAAAACCCCACTCATTCTAATTCATATTGAATCATTCTTAACGAGGACGTTGGTTAGCTGCATATTCATGGACCATTGGTGTAATCATGGATGCACCCAGTGGAGAATGATAAGTGATCGAAGTAAGTTTCTGTCCTGTAACCTTCGCGAAATCAGTTGGCTTCTTAATAGCAGTGACACACTTGAAGAAGGTGTAAATCATTGAATATCTATCGTTCTTCCTCGATTTAATTATAAACCTGACATGATAAATTCCTGTTTGAATCAACATGTGCATCATCTGCATGGAACCCCAGTAATTGGGAGATGCTCTGGGGTAAAGCCACAGCCTGAAGTCGTTAAATCGTGCATATAGCGGAGCAGTTAGCGTTTGGAAATGATCTAAATCAATGCAAATAAGGTTCTTTTTGAGCTCAATAAAGGCTTTTTGGAATGCTGCTTGATAATCAAGTCCTTTTCCTTTACCATATGAAATAATACCCTCTCCATTTCCACAGAATACAAGAACTCTCCTGCTATTAATTCTGTTTAATCTCGTGACGAGTGTGACACTATCAGTCTCCATAAACAATAGGGTAAACTTAGTTGGATCAAAAATCTCATTTCCTTCAGGAGCAAAGAATCTACTAGGAGGACCAGGAGATCTCTTCTTAGGAAGATACTTATCTGGCTCATATCTAGGCAAAGTTGTGCCATCATCAAGCCCAACATCGACTCTCTTCTGATGCAAAGTTTCTCTAAAATTAGCGACATTTTTCCTTCTTCTGAACTCCTCAAGCATGACAAGCTCGTCTTTCCTTTCATCAAGCGTTTTGTTAATCAGGAGGTCTTCTTTCTTTTCTTTAGTCAGGTCAATAATATTAGCCCAGTCTTTTTCATGCTTAGCTTTGAACCTAAAAAATAGGTTAAAATCAATCTTACTCTTTCAGGAAATCATTAAAGCTCTCATCTCTCTTGGCCTGAGTGAGGATGCTTGAAGTCAGAGATTCTCCAGGCTCTGAGACCTTCTTCTTTACGAAAGATTGCAGCTTCTTCATCTCTTGAATAGTTTTCGGCCTTTTGTACTGTGAGTAGATATCTTGATTCTCATTTTTAAAGTACAGCATCCGGTTTCGTGGATTTTTCTTTATGTTAAACCCTGAACTCATCATTCGAAGTGCAAGGGCGCCTCCTTGCAGCTGGTTTATTCCTTGTGAAAATTGATTGTGAGACCTTGCTGCTAAGGTAGGTATTCTAGAATTGAACCTCTGCCAACCTGTAAACATCATTATAAAATAAATGGATTACAAAAATAATATATTCTATATTATTTTAACAAGATGGGGTTTTGGGGTTTTGGGGTTTTGGGGTTTTGGGGTTTTGGGG